CAGGCATTGGAACAGGCTGCCCAGGGAAGTGGTTGAGCCTCCATCCCTGGAGGTATTTAAAAGACAGGTAGACATGGTGCTTGAGGACATGGTTTAGTGGTGGACTTGGCAGTGCTAGGTTAACGGTTGGACTTCGTAATCTTAAAGGTCCTTTCCAACCTAAATGATTCTATGATTCTATAAAAGGGATTGTTTTCATACATTGACAAGAGAAAGTTATAAAATGAGAAAACTACATGAAATAATTTTATATAGGGGGATAAATGCATAGAAATGGACCGAATTACATTAAACGTAACATGTTAGGAAACCAATTCCCTAAGGTATTTTAATTAATAAAAAACCTAATTATTACTGAACTTTAATTGGAAAGTCTGTAGAAACTTGGAAAGAGAGAAGGAAAAACTGATTTTTGAACAGAGTATCTGGGGGATGAGAATGAGATTACTAGTGATGTCTGCTTATTGCAGCTATTCTCCCTGTGTTTTTGCTGCTGCCAGAATATAAAAGTTTATTGCTGAAATAGTTGTTAGTCTTAACTTGAATCTCTTAGGTGGCATCTTAGAGGAGTGTGATCTTTGTACTGCAGATAATAGGGGTATTAGCTTATCCCTTTAAATTACAGACACATATGTGAAAGCTAAAACAGAGATGGTTTGGACTCAACTTTACCAAAAAGAAAGGCGAGTAGTTCCAATATTAAATAGCATATACTAAGTATTAGACGCTTTCACATCTGTGGAGTTTTCTAAAGGGATTACATGAGTATAAGGGAGGGGGAATTGACTTTTTGGTGATTAGAAAACAAAGAAATGAAAGAAGAGTTGGGAATTTTGTTAACTTCTGGATAATGTTTGTGATATTTAATCTCATATGTTCTCTTTCTTCTAGCTACGAATGTCATGGCTCATCCATGGTGTCTTGCTGGGAAATATATCCCTGGTGCTGGTCGAGAACAAGACAGGAAAGGAACAGAGCCGGATGTTCTGGCATTCAGATAACAGCGAAGGTTTGGGAATATGGCAGTGGATGATCTTACCTCTCCCAGATATACTGGATAGGTATGAGTCTCCCCATCATTCTCCTTCATTATGATCAGTCATTTCATCGCTATCTACCTGGCAATGAAAACGGCCAGCATTGCTCCTGGAAATGGTTCCCTCAGGGAGAGGAAGCACTTTGTCCCTGGGAGGTATCTTCTGTTACAGGCAGGGAATGAGAATAACTGAGTAGTTAGAGCAAAGCACCCAGTTTTAGAACTCCTGAGTTGTAGTCTTGGTTCACAAACTGGGTCACTGGGTAGTCTACAGCAAGGTGCTTAAACTTCTGTGTCTCCATTTCATTGACTGGAAATAATCATTCTCCTCACATACTGTTTTGTGTAGCATGATTGATCCTCTTACGTGGTTTGGTAGAGTTGGATGTGAGCTCCATAGTTGATTTTTTTTTTTTTTTTCCCTGGGTATCAAAGTCCCCAGTGTTCAATGTGTCTAGATCTGAGGATGAAAGAGATGGGAGAAGAACCTGCTGAAAATCAGGCAAGGATGCATCTGAACACCTTTGTGTTAGCTGTAGCAGGAGGCTTGGCTTAATAAAGGGCTTAGTTATGACTGTATTCTGGCTAAGCATAAAAGGCTTATCTGGTAGCATATGCTTAATCTGGTAGCATATGCTTATTTAAAGAGTGTTGTTTTAGCTGTTTCTTACAAGTCAGCTTTAAGGGAATACTCTGTTGTTCATTGTTTACTTTTTGTGTGTGCTCTGGCTTATGCTGTTTATAGAGAAGACACAGACATACTTCACCTCCTGCTGCCCTGGCCCTTAGGCTGTAAGATGCATCTGCAATCTGTGTCATCAGCACTGGTGTCCTTTGTGGAAATCTGTGCCCTAGAAATAATAGATTTCATTAAGGGATAGTTTGCCTCATAAGAAGTTTGAACAAGCATTGTATAAATATGTCTTTTCTCTTACTGGCTCTTGGGGATGCACGTAGGCTGCAAATACAAGGACCCTGCCAACACTTCAGTCCTGAATGTATAATTAATATGTGTGCACCAAAGATATAAAAAATATCAGCATTAGGCTTATTGTGCAGTTACTGCTGAAGCACCATTTGTAAAAATACCTGGTTGCTTCATTCCCTTCAGCTGTGTTTCCTTTGAAGAATGGTATATTTTGTCATTATTATTTATGTGATTTATTTTCTAATGTTGCCAGGGGAATATTTTGTACCTGAATTATTCTGTACTCTTATACTATTGCTTTCCTTTAAATTCTTTCTGGTTGCACAGTCAGGCAGAGAATACTTTGATCTTAGGAGCCACGCTAGCAGTGGTTCATGTGGAATCACAGATCCAACTGATACGCAGTGCTGACTATTGTGTATAAGGTGCTGACACCTTTACTTCCCCATTGCTTACAGAGAAAGACAGCTGGGTTCACTGAGGGAAGGCAGTTTGTTGGAGGTTAAGACATAAGCAAGGAAAACTTTGAAGTTTTGGTGTCTCTTGAAAAGTTTTGTCCTTATTTATTCACAGAAAGTGCACTATTTTAATGCATTTTTTTTCTAAGATTGATTTAGTTGAAACCGCTCCTTCCTGGGAAGGAATAAATCTCCTGTGAGGCTTGGAAATACTGCAGGCATCTTTCTCACCATCTTGAAACCTGTTTCTTAGGAAATCTGGACTGATGTACAAATCAGGAAGGAACTCTATGGCAGTGTACACTGAAATGGTACTGGGGAGACTGCAGTATATATACTTTGGAGATAAATGACAGTTTTATTGAACTGTAAGAAGTATTTAATTGATGTGAACGTAATGCTGGTGCTGCTGAAAGCTTGCTGTGTCTGTCTTTTTCTAATTGGTTCCTGTGTCAGTAGCTGTGAGGGTCTGCGTTAGAAGAAGCATGATATTGCAGATATTCCTACAGAAGGAGCTGAAACTTTAAATCACCTCACAGAAGTAAAGCTCTTGAATAAAGCACACCAGTTTAGCACTTCCACACAAAATTAAAGCATATTCCATTGTGATTGGGAAGCTGAATGGAAAGTGTTATTAATAACAATATAATATGCTCTAAAACTGCTCAAAAAAGCATGCTTGTTCAAAAGCTGCTTAGCCATAATTTCCATGTTTGGCTTATAGCACTTCAAAGAATCATTAGGAAGACTTCCAAGAAATTAGATCAGCTCTATCTTTAGAAACAGACATTTCTTAAATGTTTGATATCCCTCAGGCTGCTGGGAGAAATTATACTTTGGCAGAAAATCACAGCTAGAACATTTCAGGTAATTTGACAGGAACAGAAAAGTAGGGAGGAGTATGACAAAAAAGCTAAATTGGGACTGAGGGATGTTGGATTTCTAGCACTGCATTAGCCTGGGCAACCCTGGATACGTGCTTAATTTCTGAGAGTACCACAAGGAGAGGATTGTCTTCTTTCCTCCCCTTTGATCCTTAGGAAAGCATCCAGTTGAAATTTCACCCTGTGTGAGGTCTTACCTTTCCTGTGCGGACTTCAAACAGGCTGAGGTCCTGGCTTTTTACGTCTTCCCAAAGTTAGCTACCCTTCCTTGTTCTGAAAGGTGTTGGCAAAACCGTCTTGAGAGTCAGCTCATGTGGTGTGGAGGTTAATAGAGCTGTAACCCAATTCCAAATGCTCAGTATCTTCTGTGGGGGGGGAGGAAGGGCAAAGGGCCTGGTGAAGGATGCGCCATCAAAGCAGCTACAATTAAAGAAGCCAGTTGTGGGCAATAGCTCCTTGAACTGTTGGATGAACAGATTGTGCTTACCAGAGGCAAAAGGCAAGGTCTTCAGAGGTGCTGTGTTTTAACTTGCCACTTAAATACACTCATACGCTGTGGACTAACAGTCCTTACTATACTTCATTGGGCCCCCGTGGAGCCACCTACCCCTCCCTGAAGGACACGTTATCTGCAAATCAGGCAATCTGCACAGATTAGTGAAAGCTAGAGAACTGGTCATTTTTACTTACTGGAGTTTACATGTTAATGCAGTGCTAAAGTATTTGGGTTGAGAGTAGTGTAGAGAACTGTGTTATTGCAAAATTGTTTTATTTGATGGAAAATCGCTATTTGTTTTCCAGTGATGAGTCTGTTGAGAATTGTTCTTTTTTAACTTCACAGAAATGCAAGTAGGAAACAGTCTTGAAAGCTCTGTTGTAGTTGGTAGTTTGGGCTTGCCTTTTTTATACGTTTGTTTTTAGTTAGTAAGTAAATGTGAGTTTAAATTTTAATAATGATATAGTCATGGGAATGTGACAGCAAGAGCAAACAGAAGCTTGATGTAATTGAAGATGAGTGATTTGTGTAGCTAATAATTAGACATTCTGTTAGTTTAAAAGTATGGTTAAGGTGTATCACATAGATAAAATACAAGCACATGTAACAAAGTGATTCTCTGGAGCTTGCTGATGCTTATTATCACCAACCCGCCTAGTGACTGTTTTGCTATGCAGTGTAAAAGGTGGAAAAGGATTAGCCCTAATAGGCTGAAGCCTGCCTAGAAAAAGAATGCTTTAAGAAACAAATGCTAATTCTCTTGATTTCTGCTCCCTTGGTGAAGCTGAGGCCAGCCATGTGGAGTGACATGGTGACTAAATGTTCTGTGGGTCCATCTGCTACCTGGCTGGAGTTGCCTGGAGGTGGACTCCACATGACCCAGCCCAGCCCAGCTCTGCTCTTTTAAGGCCTATATTCTCTACTAAACCTGCCCTTTTCTTTCAAGATTTCACTGTAACTTCTGTGAGAGGAAGGTTTTTAGGAATAGCAAGTATTAATAGCAACCTGTCCAACCTCAGTGCAGTCTTCTGATAGAAGAAGATTGCATAGAAATATAAAAGGAATGTAAATGTGTCTACTGGTTAGAAAGGTTTCCTTGGCTTCCTTCCTTAAGTTTATTTTTTTGGCATTACAAAGTCTAAATTTGTAGCCAGTCTTAAGTAGTAGAGGCCAGATGGTGGAAGGAGGAGTGAGAGGAGGAGTTTACTTGAGGTCCCTAGAAACTAAATTTTTAGTCATAAGTAGCAGCACCATTTGCCTTGTCATTGATAGCAAGACTAGGCTCTGTGTCCTTTTAACAGGGCAGCGCGTTCAGAAAGTAAAAAACAGTTTTCCCTTGGTCCCATTGTGCTCAGAGAGCTTCAAAATTATTTTCTTGCTGATGACCTTCTCCTGGACACGGACTGAGGAATTCTACGATGTTGGAAGAGAAAAACGGGACTTACCTGGAAGGCTAGTTATGGATGTGACCTTCCTGAGGAAGAAAGCAGAAAAATCTACAAAGTTACCCCAGAAGGTGATGTTCTGTTGCAACAAGTCAAAATTCATGTCCAGATGTTTATCCTTTCTTTCTTTAAACCGGCTTCTTTACCTATTCCAGTCTTGCTGGCTCACTGGATTTTTATGAACTACACTGGTGCTCATCAGTTTTTTGTCTACATATCAAAGTGGGATTCCCTTTCAGTCCTCAGGAGTTGAGACCCTTTGTTCTCTCTGGCTCCTTCAGCAGCTCTGATTGCAGTGGCAGCCAAAGCAGCTGGGGAACCTCTCGCTCATTGCTGCACTAAAAAGAGCAGTAAAAAGAAGTTGTCTCATAGTCATACCGCTCTGCTGTATTTCTACCAGCTGTGGCTTAGCACTCTTCTTGTCTAACAATTTCTTCTTGCATTGCTCTGTCTCTCCCTCACACTGCTTTCAGATTTTCTTTCTAGGAAGTTTCTGAGCATCAGGTTTCCCATCAAGGAAGAAAAAGAAAAGGAAAGTTCTTGGCAACATTTTGTACCCAGAGACCTGTTTGTCTTCTGTTATTCCTGAGCTTTCTTACCATCCTGCTATGAAGAAACAGGGACCCTCCATACAAGCTAGACATATGTCTCCCTACAAGGTTACATCTATACCCAGATCTCTTTATTCTTCCTTCTTACATTCATCCAACAAGCCCAGCCTCTGTTGCTCCGATGTGGTCCCACATTACTTTGTTAAAAACAGAGTGAGACTTTAATGCCCATGTTGCTGCTCTTCTGCTCTGTAGCATTAACT